ATGGTTTGCAAGTTACTATTCAGCTTATTTGGAGAGGATCACATACTTATGATTGACCACAGCTGGTCCTGCATTAGCTAATTCATGATTTACAAATCAGAAGGGTTCTAACACACTATAATTAACCAGAGATTCTTACCTTAGTTATCTGCATCTTGAAAAATCCCCCATTTCACCCCTGCTCCTCCTCCTTTTTCCTACATATGGCGGCACGGCGGCTCAGTGGTTAGCACTGTTGCCTCACAGCAAGAATGCCACTGGTTGAAGTCCTTTCTAGGCCACTCAGTGTTTCTGAACATTTACATGTTCTCCCGTGCTCGTGTGGGTTTCCCTCGTGTTACCCGGTTTCCTCCCACAGTCCAAATACATGTGACACAAGGGAATTAACCAACCAGATCCTATTGATCTCCTACCTATTTCCTTCAGTCAGCAGTATATGTATCCATAGCAATCTCTATAATCTGTTATAGGTCCTAACTAAACCAAGGGAGTTCTCGAGACCTACCTGAGCTCAAACTCTCCCCTCTTGCCCTTCAAACAAGAAGGAGCCCCAAGCTCGAGAATCTTCTGAGCTCAGGGCTTATCCCGAAAGGCTTATCTTGAAAGGCTTAACTCAGTCAATTAGGTTAACTAGACAAGTTAGGGCGCACTGAGGCCCCGTTTACACTAGTGCGTTTTAGTTTTAAAACGGCATTTTAGAATTAAAACAATCCGCATTTCACCCAGCATTTCTAAACAGCTCTCCGTCTACATTAAAAAGGAGAAAACACACATCACGTGACCACACACAGACACACACACTCTGGCATGTGCTGCAGCGTGCTTTGAATACACACCCATATGGGAGCTGTGCACGTCGGAGAGTTCATCAAAGATCTCCCGCTGGATCTAATCTCACTATATTTATTGAACGTGATATATAACTCATCTTGTTGTCTTTATCTAACGACATATTCCCCGACTTTGGTGTTTTGAATCTATTACTTGTTCTCAGGTAATGTGTTTTGGCTAAGCGCAAGTATATTCTTTCATTTATTTTCTTGTCGGCTTAGTCCCTTTATTAATCCAGGGTCGCCAAAGCGGAATGAACCGCCAACTGATCCAGCAAGTTTTTACGCAGCGGATGTCCTTCCAGCCGCAACCCATCTCTGGGAAACATTCACACACACACTCATACACTACAGACAATTTAGCCCACCCAATTCACCTGTACCGCATGCGTTTGGTCTTTGGGAAAACGGAGCACCCGGAGGAAACCCACATGAACGCAGGGAGAACATGCAAACTCCACATAGAAATGCCAACTGAGCTGAGGCTCGAACCAGCGACCTTCTTGCTGTGAGGCGAATGTGCTACCACTGCATCGCCCAGGACAAGTATAAGTTAGGTTAATATTTTAATAATGCAACCGCGGACACAGATTCTGCACAATTGACTGATTTCTTGCCTTTATTTTCTCAGTTGTATGAACTTATTGTACGTTATACTTTTATAATAGCCATTATTGATTATTAAAACTGATATTCGGTGAAAGAGAGGCTTTGTTTCGTATTTTCTATGAAAATGAAAGAAGGCAGTAATGTTATAGGCTCCGTTTTGTTATGAATATGCATGATGACGCTCATATTATGCAGCCACACAACGCCTCAACATTTTTGATGTCTGTTAAGTTGCTAATATCGAAATAAAAATAGGCAGTTCCTCACATCATGTTTTCATTTTATTGTTAAGACAGTGAAACAGCATAGCCAGGGTGATGTGAATGACTTTCTAAAGTACACTCGGAGTTTGTTTCCCATATCAAACTTGCGAAGTCTGAATCTATTCTGAATGTAACTTGTAGCCTGTGTAAAGACCCGAGGACTGGTGTGATGTTCCCTGATTTTCTGGTTCTGGTCAGAATCCTAGCTGCAGCATTCTGGATGAGCTCTAACTGTCTGACTGTCTTTTTGAGAAGGCCAGTGAGGAGTTCGTTAGAGCAGTGGTCCCCAACCCCCGGGCTGCGGACCGGTACCGGTCCGTGGATCAATCAGTACCGAGCCGCACAAGAATTATCTTTAAGTTGGCAAATAAAGTAGCTGCATTTAAAGTTAAACTGAGGCATATTGGACATGTTTCAAACATGAGTGGGGATTTTGTGTGAGACTGAGTCAGCGCCCTCACTCACCAAGCTGGTGCACGATCATCTGTTAAAGGAGTTTGAGAGCTACTTCCCAACCTCAAAGGACCCACAAACGGCTAGGGAATGGATATGTGACCCATTTGTCAACAAACCAGCTGAATCCAGCATGTCCGTTCAAGAAGAAGACCAACTGCTGGAGATCATAAATGAAGGCAGCCTTAAAACAGTGTTCGAGACAACAACTCTGCCGGTGTTCTGGATTAAAGTAATGGCAGAATACCCAGAGATCACTAAAGGCTGATTTATACTTCTGCGTCAAACACCGGCGTATGCTACGGCGCTGACGCATAGCCCTTCGCCGTGGCCGTCACTGACGTGCACCTCTCAAAAAATGTAACTACACGTCGCAACAACGCATAGCGCAAGCTCTGTGATTGGTCGGCTTGGTTGCGCTGACGAGTCTGGGCGGGACCGAGAGCCGCGCGAATGGCGCAAACCCAATGTAGCGATTGTTTATAAGTGTGGAGTCCCATGAAGGAGCTCCTGTTGGAAAGTTTTGTTTTGTGTTTACCTCATAGTTAAAGTTGTTGCACGTCCGCCGGTTGCTGCCTCAAAATGAGCGAGCTTGAGCCACTTGTACATCCCGGAAGTGTTCAGGAAAAGCAAAAAAGCAGCGAAGAAACTCGACACAGAGGAACATTTACACCTTACTGCCCACTAGCGTTTCGGAAGTGTTAATGCAGACCGACAGAGACAGCGCGCAGAAGTATAAATGCACAGCCACGCGCGTTGCATGCGCCGTGAGTTACGCCGGTCACTTGACGCAGAAGTATAAATCAGGCTTAACACAGCACTGAAAACTCTGTTGCCATGTCGAGATTTACATGATATGTATGTTCTGGCGCTCACGGGCTGTTTCACGGGCACAAGCAAAGCTTGAAGGTAAACAAACAACGGCTTATCATGAGCATCTTATCGATAATTATTTACACAGTTGGCATTAAGATGAACATATAAACGTTATCTGCCTAATTTCTATCAGCTAAATGTGTCTGGAAAAATATTCAAAGGCTTTTATTCTCATAAACCGCGCAGACGTGAACGTGTCTGACTGTTCTGATTGGCTAAAGCAGACCTCTCGCGTCAGCATGTTCTTGACGTGCACGCGCTCGTTTTCCCCCCATGGTCCGCAATAAAATTGTCAAGCGTTGACCGGTCCGCAGTTGGAAAAAAGTTGGGGACCACTGCATTAGAGTAATCCACCCTGCTGCTCATAAAACCATGAACAAGTTTGTCTCTGACTGGAAACAAAGCATCTAATTCTTGCCATGTTTGAAAGATGAAAGTATGCTGATTTACTAACTGCTTTGACATGACTACTGAAACTCAGGTCGGACTCCAGGATCACACAAAAAAATCTTGTTTTTTGTTGTTTGACTCTTTGAGCCGAGGTACTTTTTTTTACAATAATTAAAATGTTTAAATAAAAATCTGGTTTAGAAAATTCAGATCATTATTTGACAGTAAACAGCCGTTTAAATAGCTCTGAAAGTGCTGTTTGTGGGACGGGCTCTGGGCTTCCCCGCACATACTGAAGCTCTGAGTTCAGTGGTTTTGTATAAAGCGCCAGCTCTAATTGAAAACATTTGATTTTCTTCTGCAGCTGTAATGTGAACTTCCCCCGGCACCAGTTTTTTTAGATGACACACATGCTTACATGCTCATAAATAGTTTTTATGAATGCACACGTATACTCAACAACAACGTTTCAATCTCGTAAAGTACATAGCATTTATGCTGTAATAAATCATGAATCCAGCCTTTGCGTAGTATAGTGATTTTAAAAATTGGATGTGCGCTTTACTTTGTGTTTTATTGCCTTGCCAATAACATACATTAAAATTAGTGAGCAGTGCTGTGAGGATGTTTGAATACAGCTGTCGAGCGAGAGACCATAAATTTGACATCTTTCTCTCTTATGACAGCCTGATCCCTCTCTCTCTCTCTGTGCTTTGGAAAGTTATTTTAGTTCTTTTCGGATCGTTAAATCAGATGGATACAGAAAAATAAATGTGTTTTAGTTCAGAGAATATGCTTTGTCTGTCTTTGAGAGCGTTTAGATGGTTTTAGTGGTATTTAAAGGACAAAATTTATGAGTTTCTTCATCTGGTGTACACAAAAGAAGATATTTTGAAGCATGCTGAAATCCAACGCAATCTCACGAGAAGGGTCTGGCTGCAGAGTCGAACTTGCATCTTCAGGCTTGCACTCTTGGGCTTGAATCAACGCTTCCTATGCAAGTGACGTAATTTACAATCGACACCTGCACCTGTCACGTCACTTGAAATCAACATAAATAACACCCCCCTGGTTTTAGCTGGTCAGGCTGGGAGATGACCAGCTAAAACTAGCTTGACCAGCCTAGCCAGGCTGGGAGCCCAGCCAAAACCAGCTATGTCCAGCTTAAGCCAGGCTGGTCAAGCTGGTTTAGCTGGTCATTTTCCAGCCTGACCAGCTAAGACCAGGCTGGAAATGGCTGGAAACCAGCCTGGAAATGGCCAAAACCCCTGTAAAACCAGCCTGGTCGACCAGCTAAAACCAGCCAACCAGCCTAGGCTGGTTTAAGCTGGATTTTTCAGCAGGGAAATTAAAATAAAAAAGTAAGTAGTGATTTCTAGTTTTTAGATGCGGTGTGTAGATGACCACAGATCATTGCCTTTCACAGTGCGATTAGTTGAGATTAATTGTCATGGAGACACACATAAACAACAGTCACCAGGTGTATCTGCTGGTCTGAGATGCACTAATGAGTGTGTAAATGAATTGAACACAATCGCCTGTGATGATCTGTGGCATAATGAAGTGGTGTGTGTTGCAGGATCACAGCCGTGTGGTCAGCCCCATCATTGATGTCATCAGTCTGGATAACTTCGCTTACCTGGCTGCTTCTGCAGACCTGAGAGGAGGTAAGAGAACTGTGTGTGGTTGTGTGTGTTTTTTTGTCTGTAGGGATATGTGTATGTGTATGCGTGTGCGTGTCTGTATGTCTGAAGAAGAAAAAACACAAGTTCAGATGACTCACACACACATTTTCCCCCTCTAATATCAGGTTTCGACTGGAGTTTACACTTCAAGTGGGAGCAGATTCCTATAGAGCAGAAAATGGCCAGAAATGACCCCACACAGCCCATCAGGTCTCTTTATCTTCATTAACTATAAATGAGGCATTTAAATAAAGAAAGAAATCATTTTATTGCAAATAGATAAAAATAGCAAAAAGACATATCTGAGCATATATTTGAATTATATTCTGTGTATATGACATACTTTTATATATGTGAAATCCAAATATGAACCTGCGTGTCATATATGTCATTTGCAAATACTGCCATATATCAATATTCTACATTGATGAACTGAAATCTGCTGACAATTTCTGAATGTAAATGACTATTTTATGAATTTACCACCTGCTGTTTTTACAGGACGCCTGTAATAGCTGGCGGAATCTTCGTGATAGAGAAGGGCTGGTTTAATCACCTGGGCCAGTACGACACTCACATGGATATTTGGGGCGGTGAAAACTTTGGTAAGCGATGCTCAGATGTCTGACATTTTCCAAAAGGAGAAACAAGTGTGTGCTGTAGTAGATGCCCTCAGTAATATAGTTAGTATATTGTTACCGTGAAACAAAAGTTAAGATTGTCCTTCTCATATTGTGACATAGATGCAATTGAAACGGTCCTGAAATTAGAAAAAATTGTGGGGCAACGCATGATTTTTCCAATGGGAACTGATTGGATCGTTGGAAGATGGGCATTGCCAACAAAATGGAGGAAGAACTAATGGTCCTGCCTGAAACGACTAATAGCCCCACCCCAAAAGACTAATGGCCACACCCTGATAAATTAATAGCCCCACCCCAAAAGACTAATGGCCACACCCTGAGAAATGAATAGCCCCACCCTAAAGGACTGATAGCCTCGTCTTAAAGGACTAATAGCCCTGCCTGAAAGGAATAATAGCCCCACCCCAAAAGACTAATAGCCACACCCTGAGAAACTAATAGCCCACCCCAAAGGACTGATAGTTCCGCCCTAAAGGACTGATAACCCCCACCCTAAAGGACTAATAGCCCCCACCCTAAAGGACTAATAGCCCCACCCTAAAGGACTAATAGCCCCACCCTAAAGGACTAATAGCCCCACCCTAAAGGACTAATAGCCCTACTTTAAAGGACTAATAGCCACACCCTGAGAAACTAATAGCCCCACCCTAAAGGACTGATAATCCTGCCCTTAAGGACTGATAACCCCACCCTAAAGGACTAATAGCCCCACCCTAAAGGACTAATAGCCCTACTTTAAAGGACTAATAGCCACACCCTGAGAAACTAATAGCCCCACCCTAAAGGACTGATAATCCTGCCCTTAAGGACTGATAGCCCCACTCTAAAGGACTAATAGCCCTGCCCTAAAGGATTGTTAGCCTCGCCCTAAAGGACTGATAGCCCCGCCCAAAAGGCTATTAGCCCCTCCTAAAGGACTAATAGCCCCATTCTAAAGGATTGATAGCCCCACCCTAAAGGACTGATAGCCGCGCTCTAAAGGACTAATAGTCACACCCCAAAGGACTGATAGCCCCGTCCTGAAAAAAAAAAAAACAATAGCCCTGCCCCCAAAGGACTGATTGCCCTGCCCTAAAGGACTTATAGACCCACCTTAAAGCTCTAATAGCCCTGCCCTAAAGGACTGATAGCCCTGCCCTAAGGGACTGATGGCCCCGCCCTAAGGGACTGATAGCTCTGCCCTAAGGGACTGATAGCCCCACTCTAAAGGACTAATAGTCACATCCCAAAGGACTGATAGGCCCGCCCTAAAAAAACTAATAGCCCTGCATAAAAGGACTGATAGCCCCGCCCTAAAGGACTGATAACCCTATCTTTAAGGGACTGACAGCCCCACTCTAAAGGACTGATAGCTCCACCCTAAAGGACTGATATTACCTCCCTAAAGAGACACTGCTCGCTGCAGAGCCGCTTGAGCTCCAGCGAGGGGGAGCTTGAGCTCTCGCTCCTCCTCCTATAAGCAGTTTTAATGCGTACACCCACCCCAACCCCTGTGACATCACTCATAGAAGAAGTGCAAGGAAGGAGGTGCTAGAGCTCAAGCTCGCCCTTGCTGGAGCTCAGCTCTACCCTAGTGGCTCTGCAGTGAGCACTACTAAAGGGCTGGTAGCCCTGCTTAAGATACAGGTTATGACATTATGAATTTATAATATTATGAGGGCATATTTTTTAACAAAATAATGAAGCGCAGAGATTCATCATTTAAAGCAAGCACTGCTATATAAATATAAAAATAAGCAGAGCACATTTTATTTTCATGGTGAGTTTAAGTTGTGAGCCTGCTTTATGCACTATAAAACTACAAGCGACATGTGTAAGAACAGTAAAGACATTGAAAGATAAATACAACTGACAAAAAAGAAACAACATTTAATTAATTTTAATTGCACTTAAAATAAAACATGTATAAATACAAAAGTGACAACAGGATCTCAGTGGAAGACGAAAAAAAAAAAAAACGCCTGACAAGCCTGGATGTGATAAAGTAGCATGAGTTAAGAGCCCTCTAGTGGCTATAAGGAGAGGAACTTTCCACAAATGTGACCCTAGCACCACAAAACCAGTCAGAATTGCATTGTTTCTGACTGATAATGCCATTTCCATTCGATTTGCAAATAAATTTAATAGACTGCTCAATATTCTCAATAGTGTGTAGCACAGACATTAAAAGAGTGGAATACAGCGTGCTTTAATGCATGTGTGTTTTATCTATTTATTTATTTCACATTCATATTTGTGATGAGCTAACCATAATATTTCAATTAGTGATTACCGTTCAGTTTAATTTTAATTGCACAGCCCTCTGTGTATTGTTGGCTATTGATAAGTCGTCTGTAACAGGGTGGTGCTGACGTCACAGGCGAGCGCCCTGAAGGCTCTGTAGTCCGTTTATAGCCTAATGTTAGCTTTTCAATTTATGCGTTTGCATTTAACATCCAAAAGTGCTCAAAGTTGTATTTTGGTGTGAGGATTATCAGGCTGGACAAATTATGTGAGTGTAATGAACAGTGTTTGAACACACAGCTTATTATTTACACTCTACGAAAAGCCTATGAGAAAATCCTATAGGGATTTTCACGATGGAACCAGTTTTATGCTAGCAGCCGATTAGCCTAGAAGGTGACGTCATAGTTCCTCCACTCTATTGATGAATGATGTTTCTATGTTTAGGCACACTGCAAAAAATGCTTTTCTTGCTTAGATTTTTTGTCTTGTTTCTAGTCCAAATATCTAAAAGTTCCTAAATCAAGAAGAATTTTCTAAACAAGCAAACCATATAGCCTTGTTTTGAGAAATATTATGCCAATATTAAGTCAGTTTTTCCTTAAACCTGGCCATAAGGGACTGACAGCCCCGCCCTAAAGGACTGAAAACCAAACCTCTAAGGGACTGACAGCCCCGCCCTAAAGGACTGATATCCCCGCCCTAAAGGACTGAAAACCAAACCTCTAAGGGACTGATAGCCCCGCCCTAAAGGACTGAAAACCAAACCTCTAAGGGACTGATAGCCCCGCCCTAAAGGACTGAAAACCAAACCTCTAAGGGACTGATAGCCCCGCCCTAAAGGACTGAAAACCAAACCTCTAAGGGACTGATAGCCCCGCCCTAATGGACTGATATCCCCGCCCTAAAGAGACACTGCTCGCTGCAGAGCCACTTGAGCTCCAGCGAGGGGGAGCTTGAGCTCTCGCTCCTCCTATAAGCAGTTTCAATGTTTTAAGGAAAAACTGACTTAATATTGGCATAATATTTCTCAAAACAAGGCTATATGTTTTGCTTGTTTAGAAAATTCTTCTTGATTTAGGAACTTTTAGATATTTGGACTAGAAACAAGACAAAAAATCTAAGCAAGAAAAGCATTTTTTGCAGTGCATGAATTGTTTCCATGATCCGTCTTGTGGTTTTCTGTTGTTGTAGAGCTGTCGTTCAGGGTGTGGATGTGTGGCGGCAGTCTGGAGATCCTGCCGTGCAGTCGCGTGGGCCACGTCTTCAGGAAACGACACCCCTATGACTTCCCAGAGGGCAATGCACTCACCTACATCAAGTAAACTAGACCTAACCTTTTTGCTCAGCTGACTTTTTATATATAATGTGTGGTGTCACAAATGTCCAGTGACGCTGGTACTAGTGACGAATCTCTCTGACCATTCAGGGATCAGCAGTGTGTATATGTCACGTTTTGGTGTATGACAGTAAATCAGTAGGAAATATTGACAATCTGCAAATCTGAATATGAGGATTTAATATGAATGATAATTAATATAAATGAAGCACTGATATATTGTGTGTGTTTGTGTGTGTTTGTTGTAGGAACACACGGAGAGCTGCTGAGGTCTGGATGGATGATTATAAGCAGTATTATTACGCTGCAAGGCCATCAGCGCAGGGCAAGGCCTTCGGGAGGTCAGACGTCTTTTCATTATCTGTGTATCTGTAAATTATTAGCCCTTCTGCGAAATTTAAATTATATGTCAAATGTTTCTCAAGTGCTGATTTTGTGAGTTTGATTCCATTTCACATGACACTTATTGCCATACTACTGAAAACAGCAGCAGATAGTTCACCTCAGATCTGGAAAATAAAAAAAAAACGTCTGAAATTGAGCTTTAGAACCGAGACTCAGTGTAAACCAACACCTATCAGTGATTCAGCCTCTACATTTAATAATGTTAAAGAGGTTTATTATGTATTAATTAGATTATAGATTTTACCATTGTGCTGGAGTGCAGTGAGTGCACTATTCTGTGCTTCTGAATGGCTGTATTTACATTTCTGTCATGTTTAATCTGGTGCAAACAGCCAAACTGCTCATCGCTGCACATCTCATCACATAGCATGTTGTTAGGACAAGGGGTTACAATGTAACCTGCTAATCTAGTGTTTACGGTTGTAATATTTATATTATTTGCTAGTTAATACCCACCTCATGTGGAACTCTGAATCTGCATCTCATTTATGAGTCTGCTACTGTCCACCAGCGCTCGCATTTCAGTCGCGGTCACATGCTTTGAAAGCCTTTCTGACTGAATGAATCAAATACAAGGTTTTCCAACAAGGAAACCCAGGGTGCTAAAAAATAAATGAATGGCTAAATAATAAATTAATTAATTAAATAATAAATAATGGCTAAAGTTGCAATGGGCGGGTTAAAGGGACCAAATTAAAGACATCAGAATATCTGACTTCAGCATTTTTTTTAGATAAACAAAAATGTTCAGTTAGCATGTTTCTGAAATATCTGCAATCATATTATGCTATTTTTATGCTTTAGAAGAGTCAAAAATGTACATACAGCACTTTTAAACAAGGTTTATTAACTACTTTTTAATAGCCATTTTTGCCATGATGAGTGCATAATATTTTACTAGTTATTTTGTAAGATCCAGCTTAAAGTGCCCTTTATAGGCTTAACTAGCTTAATTAGGTCAACTAGGCAAGTTGGGTTAATTAGGCAAGTCATTGGAAAACAGTGGTTTGTTCTATAGCCAGTAAATTAGCCAAAATTAGTATTTTTTACTTCAGCCAAACTAAAAGAAGAAACATAAAACAGGAAATGCCATAAAAATGTCCTTGATTCATTAAACATCACTTAAGAAATATTTGCTTGTAACTTTGCCTTCAACTTTAAATCAGATTTACATTCTGCAAATGACGAATCTGTCCAAAACATTCAGAAATAAAAGCCTCGTACCAACATAATGATGAGAAAAAGACTGTTCAACTGGCTATAAATGTACAGGGGCAAACAAGGCACAGGTGAACACAATGAGTTGCTATGGAAACCAAAAAGCAACCAACAACCAAACGCATATGGTTACTGGCACAAATGATTCATTCATTCATGCATTTTGGATCTAATCTCACTATATTTATTGAACGTGATATATAACTCATCTTGTTGTCTATATCTAACGACATATTCCCCGACTTTGGTGTTTTGAATCTATTACTTGTTCTCAGGTAATGTGTTTTGGCTAAGCGCAAGTATATTCATTCATTCATTGTCTTGTCGGCTTAGTCCCTTTATTAATCCGGGGTCGCCACAGCGGAATGAACCGCCAACTTATGCAGCAAGTTTTTATGCAGCGGATGCCCTTCCAGCCGCAACCCATCTCTGGGAAACATCCACACATACATTTACACACACTATGGACAATTTAGCCTACCCAATTCACCTGTACCGCATGTCTTTGGACTATGGGTGGAAACCGGAGCACCCGGAGGAAACCCACGCAAAGGCAGGGAGAACATGCAAACTCCACACAGAAACACCAAATGAGCCGAGGTTCGAACCAGCGACCTTCTTGCTGTGAGGCGAACGTGCTACCCACTTTACCACTGCCTCGCCGGCACAAATAATGTGAAGGAAAAATACAGCAGTGACTGACAGGTTTCTGCTTCTCTATACAGTATTGCAGATCGGCTTGCTCTGAAAAGGAAGTTGAACTGTAACTCTTTCCGATGGTATCTGGAGAACGTGTACCCTGAACTCAAGTGAGTCACATTCATTGAGTGTCTGAGCACTGAAAAAAATGACCTTATTAAATGCTGTTCGATGTGTTTTGTTGTGTTTGTCAGAATTCCAGAGCAGGAGGAGGCGTACAGTCTTCTCAAACAGGGTGGTCTGTGTCTGGAGAGCCACGGCACTGACAGTCTGGGTTTAGCGGAATGTAGGAGCACACCCAGTATACCAGCCTCACAGGTGAAGATTATATGAGCATTACATTATACACTGAAGCTGAAGCCTACAGAACGACCTCAAGACCCAGAAGACACAGAATCATTACACACAATGACTGAGAGACAGTTTAGACTGCATGTCAATGATGAGAATTTTATATCAGCGCTTTACAGTTTGTTCTAGCTTTTTTGTTCTAGTAATTAAGTTGACCATAATGTAGAAACATGTGCAAAATTAATCTTTTTATAACTGAAATTATAAACAATATATAACGGCAAATTTAGTAGAGCAAAAACACAAAGAAAGATGAAAATGTAACATTTTTATTCATGATACCTGAGTGTGTGATTGTGGAGACAGTCTAAAATAAGTATAGCAGGAGTCTAAGGTCATATTTTTTAAAGGGCCATGAAACCCCCTCGTTTCAGCAGGGTGTTTTCACACCTCTACTTTGGAAAAAGTCAGAAAAGTGGGCGTGTCCAGCTCTGTGTAGGGGGGAGTGTCGGAGGAAGAAAAGTGGGATGGTGTGGGAGTGTCTATTTGGGTACGCGCGAGTTTCAGAGTCAAAATACACACACACAGGAGAAAGTGATGGGGTTTAACCTACATGGACATCTGTAGTCGAATTATTTGCCAAATTATTAAATGGTGGACTTTAACTGCAGTTTGGCTCTTTCATTCAGGGAATTCATTCATGCCCCTCGCGACAAACAAGATATTTGATTCGAGGATCTGCTCTAAGCGTGTATTTTTCATGCAATGTTTGATACCGCACGGCGAATGAGAGAAAAAAAACCTCTGCATTTCCCGGAAACTTAGATGCACACGGCAGGTAGCGTCAGAAAGCCGCGTGTGTTATTCACTAAATGCGGTGAAAATCCTACATGAGGTTAAAGTTTGGTTGTAGTGCTAACATGTTTACACTCGGTGCAATAGTTAACTTAGTTCGATACGAACAAACTGAATAAACAAAGAGCACTGCTCGCTCACTTACCAAATCTGTAGAGACAGGACAATCACCAGCAACTAGAGCCGCGTCTTTATGAAGAGAAGACTACAAGCGAATCCAGATCTCAGCGTTTGCAGATGAGAACAGCTCTCAGGTAAACAATAATCCTCCTTAGACACGTAAGTTATTGTTGTCGAGCGTCGCGTACACTGTTAATCTACACGTGACGCCAGATGAGCTCTCACAGAGAGAAAATGAAAACAAAACTTAACGGCAGCAAACTATAAAAGCAACACTTCACGCTTGTTTTGCCAACACAATGTGGCGTCTCTGTCGTGTAAACACTCTGACAGTAATGAATATTAATGAGGCTGCACAATAGAGCGCGCTGATTGGTTTGAACCAAGCCTTACTCATGCATTAATGTAGCACACTGTAAGACGTAATAAGACTCACTCTGGCACAGGCGTCCAGTCTGCACGCTGGAATACACGCTATTATGTCATGACCGTGACGCAGCTTCAAAAATTCGTTTCAAACCGGAAGTACGGATTTGCTTGAAATAACGCAAAAACAACCAATTTACACTTTTTAGTGAAATATAGGCGTCCTAATAGTGTTTTTAGCAGTGTGGGACACATATACCACTGTCAACAGCTCAAAACATGTGTTTTGGTGTTTCGTGACCCTTTAAATACAAAATCTCCATAAATACACATAAACACCTTATTTTTAGAAGTAACTTGAGTTTTATTTTTGAAAATGGTTTGGTTTTTGAAACGTAACAGAAGCTTTATTTTGGGGACTCAAAATGTTCCTTCAATTGTAGAATCACCAAGATATTTCTACACAATTAATTATCATTATGCATTACCCAATGATGTGTCTGTTCTCTTTTGCAGAAGTGGACCCTGATTGAGCCTCAGATCCGTCAACATGACCTGTGTTTGGCCATCACAGCCTTCACCGCAGGGTCCAAGGTCAGACTAGAGCCCTGCAACATCAAAGAGTCCAGACAGGTGCGTAAACACATTACTGACCCACGAACAGCTAGAGTTTTGTCAACCTATACAAAAACCAATCACATGTATGTTTGACAACTGAGCAATTTGAGCTCAAACGTTCACTGAACGTTTCAAGCTGAAGATTAAGGCCATGTCCACACTAAAACACATATTCTTCCCTCCATTTGGGCCTTCCCTCCACACTGAGACAGCATTTTTTTAGGTAACGAAAACAGATCTGTAATGAAGTTTACGGCCACCTGGCCACCGGGAAGAAGGAGGCGGAGAACCGACAAACTTTTCAACAGTTTTTAATACATAAATAAAACAAACGGACATTTGGCGGCATTCCTGGTCTCCTGCTCCGCTCCCGCTTCGGTGGATGGAAGCAGGCTTTGGCATCATGGCGAATCGCGGTGACTCCCCCAGCTTCTTTGGGATGGCTCCCTTCAGCACTTTCCTTTTCTGGTGGTGAGTCCTTCCCATGCAGGGAGCCGGCAACAGGCAGATCCTTTCCTCGCCAGCCTCGGGCCACCCCAACACTCTAGGCAGACGAACAGACGAAAATTGGGGCTTGGTTCTCAAGACACGCTGCCACTCGGTCCTCCACCAGCTGAGAGATCTGATGACGTGTTGGGAGCCCTGTGGAGGAATCTGTCCACTAGTCCGTCTTCTGGTGTCTGCCGGCGGTTCTCTTGGCTGGCGGCATTCTTGGTCTCCTGCTCCGCTCCCTCTTCGGTGGATGGAAGCAGGCTTTTGCATCATGGTGAATTGAAGTGACTCCCCTGGCCTCTTTGGGATGGGTCCCTTCAGGCACTTTCCCTTCCGGTGGTGAGCCCCGCGTCCCTCCCATGCTGGGAGCCAGCAGCAGGCAGATCCTTTCCTCACCAGCCTCAGGCCACCCCAACACTCACGGCAGACAAACAGGTTTCTCCCCCACTCGGATTAACTCCAGAACACTTGCCCGCCCTTTCAGCGGTGAGGGCAACTGGACAAAGTGTCCCACTTACTCCCGGATTTCAGCACCACTGTAATGACGTTTACGGCCACCTGGCCACCGGGAAGAAGGGAGCAGGGAACCGACAAACTTTTAATACGTTTTTAATGAATAAATAAAACAAATGGACACAGCTCTTCATGGAAACTGCCGTCAAACTGAAAGCAAAAGTGAAACAATATGTCCGGGCCTGGTCCTCTCTCGTCCTCCTCTGCCATCGTTCCTCCTTTTATAGTCCAGAGCTCCTTCTGTTTTGTTTCATTCCCACAACTCTTGGCCCTGTCCCCTTGCCACATACCCCCATCTCCCATCACAGGCCGGGGGTACCCCATGGCTGTGCTTACTCCGGGGGGGTTTAGTGCCACAGCACTTGAGACCTATGAGACTGGCCGAGAGAAAAGAAGATGGAAAAAAGGAGGAAAGACTGAGAGGGGAGAGAGGCAAAAAAATGGGGGCTCGGTTCTCCAGACAAGCTGCTACTCGGTCCTCCACCAGCTGAGAGATCTGATGACGTGTTGTGAGCCATGTGGAGGAATCTGTCCACCAGTCCGTCTTCTGGTGTCTGGCGGTGGTTCTCTTGGCACCAGCATTCCTGGTCTCCTGCTCCGCTCCCGCTTCGGTGGTAAAAGCAGGCTTTGGCATCATGGTGAATCGCAGTGACTCCCCCAGCCTCTTTGGGATGGCTCCCTTCAGCACTTTCCTTTCCGGTGGTGAGCCCCGCGTCCTTCCCATGCTGGGAGCCGGTAGCAGGCAGATCCTTTCCTCGCCAGCCTCGGGCCACCCCAACACTCTGGGCAGACGAACGGGTTTCTCCCCCACTCGGGTTAACTCCAGAACACTTGCCCGTCCTTTCAGCGGCGAAGGGAACTGGACAAAGTGTCCCACTTATTCCCAGTTTTTGGCACCACTGTAATGACGTTTACGGCTACTTGGCCACCGGGAAGGAGGAGGCGGAGAACCTACGAACTTTAAATACGTTTTTAAGGAGTAAATAAAACAAAAAGACACAGCTCCTCATGGAGACTGCCGTCAAGCTGAAAGCAAAAGTAAAGCAATATGTCCGGGCACGGTCCTCTCTCGTCCTCCTCTGCTATCATTCCTCCTCTTATAGTCCAGAGCTCCTTCCGCGGGATTTTGTTCCCACGGCCGTCAGCCTCGCCCCCTCGCCACTATCTTTTTGAATGAAAAGTGGATAAAGTTGTGTCATTTTGCTGCAACGTTTTAAAGAGACAAAATTAAATAAGCGACATTTTGCCATGACATTTCATAGAGATGTAAAGTAAATAAGCAGCAGGCGGATATGACGCGGGTAGAAGAGTCTCTTGTCTGTGCGTAGTACATGAACGAAAGCGTTTTCAGTCATTTTAGTGTGGATGATGGAAGAATTGAAAACAACATTGTGGACATGGAGCGTTTTTACCTGTCGATTAGTGTCGACGTAGCCTAAATGTTACCCCTCATAAAAGCTGCAGTTTTCTTTTACACTTTGCTTTATAACTCTTCCTCCATCTATTTGCAGCTCAAAGCTATCAGCCGCAAACGCATTTCTTCCCATAAGCCCACTGCATATGATTCCACTTACAAGCTTAGCTGGCTCAGTTGGACTGGCTTTTATCTTTTTTCCCCTCCATGTTTCAATGGTATGACCTCCGCTCCCATCCACTCCTTCGTGTTCGGCTGATTTAGGATAACTCCAGAAATCAAAACAACATCCTTAACAAACAGATCAGATTCTATATAGAGGAGATTTACCGCTGCAGTCTTTGCACATGATGACGAGAGCTTTAAAGAGTACCTTGGGAATCAAGACTTGTATGGCTGAAAATAACATAAATAATGGAAGATTTGAACTAGGGCGGTTGTTTAGGGATCAGATCAGTTCAGACATATGATTAGCTGTGCCTGACTTATTTTTTTGTTATCGCTATATCTTGTTTTTGTTCATTTTAAGTTTTATATCCCAAATCTTAAAGGAACTATCACCAATTTTATTGAAAGTAGATTTAAACAAATGAGTTTTACCATTTTTAAATCCATTTAGTCAATTTCCAGGTCTGGCAGTTGCACATTTAGCTTAGCTTAGTATAGATCATTGAATCAGATTAGACCAAAGAGTTTTGATAAGGGGACGATCACACTGAATGTGCTTTTCACGATGAGAGATGCTTTTTTAAAAATGTTTTTCTAATGGACACAAACATTTAAGCACTCGCTTTAAAACCCCCCGGTCTTCAGATACTCGCCCTGCTGAAAAATCCAGCTTAAACCTGCCTAGGCTGGTTTTTTAGCTGGTTGACCAGCCTGGTTTTAGAGGGGTTTTGGCTATTTCCAGGCTGGTTTCCAGCCATTTCCGGCCTGGTCTTAGCTGGTCAGGCTGGAAAATGACCAGCTAAATCCAGCTAAAACCAGCTTGACCAGCCTGGTTTAAGCTGGACATAGCTGGTTTTGGCTGGGCTCCCAGCTTGGCTAGGCTGGTCAAGCTGGTTTTAGCTGGACATATCCCAGCCTGACCAGCTAAGACCAGGCTGGAAATGGCTGGAAACCAGCCGGGAAGTGGCCAAAACCCCTCTAAAACCAGCCTGGTCGACCAGCTAAAACCAGCCAACCAGCCTAGTCTGGTTTAAGCTGTTTTTTTTAGCAGGGACCCCCTCCCCTTCCTGCTCCAACCAGATGCACACAGTTGAATGAATACCGGGAGCGTATCACGAGTCATGTGCCAACAACTGACCGATCAGCTTCAGCTTGTATGGAATATACACATTTCAGTAGACTAATTATCTCAGACAAACACAGAACACCCAAACACCCCTGCTGAAAAATCCAGCTTAAACCAGCCTAGGCTGGTTGGCTGGTTTTAGCTGGTCGACCAGGCTGGTCTTAGAGGGGTTTTGGCCACTTCCAGGCTGGTTTCCAGCCATTTCCAGCCTGGTCTTAGCTGGTCAGGCTGGGAGATGACCAGCTAAAATCAGCTTGACCAGCCTAGCCAGGCTGAGAGCCCAGCCAAAACCAGCTATGTCCAGCTTAAACCAGGCTGGTCAAGCTGGTTTTAGCTGGATTAAGCTGGTCATTTTTCAGCCTGACCAGCTAAGACCAGGCTGTAAATGGCTGGAAACCAGCCTGCAAATGGCCAAAACCCCTCTAAAACCAGCCTGGTCAACCAGCCAAAACCAGCCAACCAGCCTAGGCTGGTTTAAGCTGGATTTTTCAGCAGGGACTGCAGCGCTTTGTCATTTTCTCCACAAATAAAAGTTGTATCAGAGTTGCAGCAATGTTTTGTCAGCTTGTCATCCTCTGAGAAAACAGTTGATGGTTGTCTAGCAACCTACGAAACACCCACACCGGTCCACAGTAAAATTGTCAAGCGGTCCGCAGTTATAACAAGGTTGGAGACCACTGCTCTAAAATATTAAGGCGTTTTAAGCAATTTTATTAAATATGCAGACATCTCCATTCTCACAATGAGTTTCTGAGTTTTCTCATCTTTCCAACAGAGTTTGTTCTTCTGAGGTAATCTGGGTAAACGTTTAGTGCCTATACTCTGTAAAAGCCTGTCCTGCTTATTCAAATGTATTACAGTTTCACTATATCAGTAACAATACCAGCATGCTAGAACATATTAACAAAGAATATGTATAGATCAAAAACTCTTACACTATAAAATTACTATAGTTTTATTTCCATGTGGGTTTGTTTGCTTGTTGTTCTGTAAAAAGACCCCATTCTGTAATTCATCAGTAAAAAATTGCTGCCTCCAATATCTGTTTAAATAATGGTGTGATGTAAATGTTTTTAATCCTGGTGTGTTTGCTTGTAGAAATGGAAGCCTCGAGGTCCGGCACTTCAGCACATGATCAGCGGCTTGTGTCTAGACAGTCAGCCTCCCTCAGGGCCTCCAGCCATCGCTCAGTGCCGCCCCCAGGTGGCCAGCCAATCCTGGGAGCCCCAGCTGGTCACCTGACTCTGAGAGCTCACAGGGGCGGGGAAAGGGGAGGAGTTTAGTGAGGTTGCTGAGCTCGAGGAAAAACGTTTGCACACTGTTTTAGTTGAAGGTGCTGCTCTGGAAGGAATCCAACATGGCCATGTCCAAACGTCTGACCTCGCTGTTTTGTTGTGGAAAAGAAGATTTTCGCCTGCCAATTGTAAGTCGGCTTCGCAACGAAAGTGTTTTTGGGCACGGCCATTGACTTCACGTGGCATGGGTCGGCTGCTTTGTGACATCTTGGGTTGCTTTACTTTTCCAGAATGTTGCGTTGAGGTATCAACAAAAACCAGAGAAAAGTTGTATATAAATGCCTTTTACTACCTTTTAGACCCATAACTTGTAAATATTCCCATGAAGACTGTGGTTTATAGCGGTGTAGGCTTTAAAGGAACTCTCCACTATTTCTTGTTTTTTTTTAAAGGCTTGTTTTAAAGTTAAAGTTGACCATTTTTGAATCCATTCAGTTGATTTCTTGTTCTGGTGGAGCCATTATTAGCTTAGCTTAGCATAATGAATTGAATCGGGTTAGACCATTAGCATTTGTTTTGTTTTTTTGAAAGAGTGATCATTTAACTTTTTAAACATTGGCTGAATACATCAAATCGTAGTAATTCTGTTGCGTTATCTGATGGAGTGCAACTGTGTATATTCATACTTGGTCATGGTACGGCAGCAGAGTTTCTTGACAATTACGCCAGAATGAAAGTATAGTTCCTAGCAGTATTTTAACCTTCAAAGTGCACGGGCTAGCACCTGGTTACATTTGTGCAGTGCTGGTCAGTGCTAGCTTAACTACATTTCTCAGTAGCGTGGCGGTAGCATCAGTACTTTCTAAATCAAATAGCTTTTCGGTAGCAAAGCTATTTTTTATTAGTCAAGTAGCGCAGTAGCGTCCACACAAGCTACATTTACCAATCACAGATCAGTAGCTGACGGCACCGACATTCACAGAACTGTGAGGCTGGTGTCTATTTGATGCAAGTAAATCCATATGATGGCGAGAATGACGATTTCTTCTTCCTGTTTTTCGTTGTTCACACCAAACTTCTTGGTGCGTTACTGCCGATGTGCGTTTTCAAAAACCATCGTTAGCCAACTAATGTCGCAAGTTGTGTCGTTACAAAACATAGTTTGTTGATTTGCCGTTTCCCAAATTCGTTGTTCCAACGAAAACATTCGCAAACTGTCGCAAACTGTCACGCTTGCAACTACAGTTAGAACCATAGTTCCTGGCTGTGTTCTATTCCAACTTATCCCCCTTATGCCCTAATCATTTACAACATTCTAACATTCAAAGTTGGAATGATTTTTTAAAGCATTAAGGTCATCTCTCTTAGGTGTAATTTGCTTTTAAACTATTTTTACAGTTTTACAGTTTTAGCTATTTTCTCTTTGCAGTGCACTTTGAAAACAATTGATGCCATTTTGAACACATTCGTGGTTCATGTCGAAAGCTATAGGTGACGTATTATTTAAAAGCGGGATTTATGTTGTGTCTATGTAATCCGATTTTAATTCATTATGCTAAGCTAAGCTAAAAGTGCTCCCGCCACAACAAGAGATCAGCTGAATGAATTCATAAATTATTTAATTGAACTATTAACCTCTAGGAAACCTGTAAAATGAGCCTTTTTTGAGCCGTGTTTGTTGACAGTTGTTCTCATGAAGGACTGTTTTTATTCATCACTGTGGAAGATTTAATTTTATTCCCAGATATGTTCAGTATTAGACTGGGATTAAGTGCAATGCCTCCAGATGAACGTGTATATACCACAGAAACTGTCATTCAGCGACAGAAAGGCTTTAAGACGTTGAGAAGTTCAAGCGCTCCGAGATTCTGTTGGGGAAAAAATGCTGTAACAAAAGACAGAGATGGCTCCAGAATGATTCATGTCAGACATGATGAAATAACCAAATGTTTTATTAAATACTGTCAACTTAAATGAGGTGTAAAGTGCTTTCACTGAGCTTTCATTCTGCATGGTACATCAGCAGCACAGAGAAAAGGCATCTGCGAACACGTCAAGCTCAAAGACTGTTTCTTTTTTTATTTGTTTGCCTTTTGAGAGTTTGTACTTACTTGAAGCTGCGACATTTTTCATTTCCAACATGTGCTAGGAATATGTTGTTTAAAACATTAAAGAGAATCCAAAATGTTGAGTCTGTCTTTATATGCTACAGCAGGGCTGGATTGGGACTCCTTTTCAGCCCTGGAGTTTCAAGCCTCAGACCGGCCCACCTCAGATCACGACTGACTATATTAAAATAAGGACATTTCCAAATCAGTTTCTAATGACACTATCACGTCTTTTTTTTTTGAGAAAACAGCTGCTTTAGAACTTCAAATGTTCAACAACCCTAACAGTATTATATGTCTCAACTATAAAAATGAAAAAAAAAGAAAGTACTCAGACGAGGATCGAACCTGGGTCTGCGGCGTCGTGAACTAACGTGTTATCCACTGCACCATAACAGCTGTTCATTGAGTGGTGACTCATCAAACTTATATCATCAATAACCTGCAGGCTGCATCTTGCTCACTGAGCTGCGAGAAAATAGATAAAAAGAGTAGAGCTGCGCTAAAATAATGAATAAAAAGGCTGTGGTCAAGTAAATAAATAAATAAATTTAAAAAGTGTGACTGCTGAGAGCATAAGAATTCTGAAGCTAGGGATACCAACCCTCGCGGCCAAATAGGACCGGCCCACCGGGAATTCTCCCGGTCCTCCCGATTAGCCAATCTGGGCCTGTACTACAGTAGAAATGATCCTGTCACTGTTGTTGCATTGTGAAAACTGAATGCTGTGATGCAGTTTTAGACATGTAGACTCATTCATTCTTTCATTTTCTGCCGCTTTTCCGTGCTCGGGTTGCAGGGGCAGCAGTCTGAGGAGAGAACCAAAGAATTCCCTCTCCTGAGACACTTCCTCCAGCTCCCCTGGGGGGATCCCGTGACATTCCCCAGACAACCGAGAGACATAGTCCCTCTAGCGTGTTCTGGGTCTTCCCCGAGGTCTCCTCCCAGTGGGACATGCCTGGAACATCTCCCTAGATAGGCATCCTGGATGCATCTGAAACAGATGCCCAAGCCACCTCAGCCTGACTTTTCTCGATTTGGAGGAGCAGCTGCTTTCCTCCAAGCTGCTCCCGAGTGACAGAGCTCCTCACCCTATCTATAAGGGTGCGCCCTGCCAACCTTCGAAGGAAACTCATTTCAGCCCTTTGTATTTGAGATCTTGTCCTTTCGGTCATGACCCAGAGCTCATGACCATAGGTAAGAGTAGAGATGTAGATTGACTGGTAAATCGAGAGCCGGACCCCCTCCAGCCCAAGGCTGCACCTTGAAATTCTGTCCATAAAAATTATGAATAGAATTGGTGACAGGGCAGCCCTGCCGGAGCCCAACATGCACTGGAAACAAGTCTGACTTAGAGCAGGAGTTTGGTTCCCATTGCCGGCAATGTTCATACAGGGACGAGATGGCCCATAACAGAGCACCTCTGAGCCCAGAGGACCCTCCACAGAATCCCACGAGGGACACGGTCGAATGCCTTTTCCAAGTCCACAAAACACATGTGGACTGGCTGGGCATACTCCAATGAACCCTCGAGCACCCAGGTGAGGGTATAGAGCTGGTCCAGTGTATCGCGGCCTAGATGAAAACCACATTGTTCCTCCTGGAACCAGGGTTCAACCATCAGCCGGATCCTCCTCTACCCTAGCATAGAGTTTCCCTGGTAGGCTAAGGAGTGTGATCCCCATATAGTTGGAGCACCCCCTTCTTAAAAATGGGAACCACCACCCTAGTTGCCCAGTCTTTGTGACATGTAGACTGTAGCAGAGAGATTCATGGATGTTCAGGCTTACAAAAGTCACACTGTACACTGTTTTCCTGCAGTATAAAATAGTAAATGCAACAGGGTTAAAGGCACATTTGATTTTATTCTCCATTAAACCACTAGATGGTAGAAAAACTCACTTCCTTATGCCTCATTCCCATTAGCAGCAACTTTGTAGCTGTCTGTCGCTGATCTGCTGCAAATGCAGGTCTGTGTAGGTCTACAACACGGAGAACATAACTCACTTCTGCAGGAGCTGAGAGAAGATCAAGTGGGTTCTACTGGTGCTCCTCCTGACTGTCGCTCAAGAAAGTCGCTCTTCATTTGCATAAAGTTGAAGGATTCTTCTCAGAATTTAGATTTTTCTTCTGAGAGTTATATCTATAACATTAGAACAACCTCATATACATTTGCAATTCCCAAAAATATTGTTAGAATAGTGATATATATATTCGCAATTTTAATAAATAACATCAGAATAGCACAATGTAAACTTCAAGTTTAACGTCAGAACAACTTCATTGTTTTATATTCAATCCACTTAAATGTGTTAACTTAATCGATTTGAGTTGGGACAACATGAATGAATAGTAGGGATGTAACAATATTGTAAATACCGTCATACTGCATTAGTAATTTTTTTCAATATTGCCGTAGGCGCATGACTCAATAAAACTATATTTCTGAGAAAAGTTTGCTCAGGCGAATGAAGCGAACGGGAGGTAGCGGGAACTACAATTCCCATCAGCCTAGGCGTGGCCATCATCCTTTGCGGTCTGTTGTCACTACAGATCCAGTAATGCGGAAATGGAGTGTGTTGCTAGTAGCGGGGAAGAAAAAGAGCTGGAAATGATCGAACCTAAAGCGGGTTTTAAATCGGATGTGTGGAAGCATTTCAGTTTCTTTCTAAAAAGATACGAAAAAGGAGAAAAGGTGACAGACAAAGAGAAAAACAGTATGCAGGCACTGCCAGACTGTGGTGAAATATAAGTCGGGGAATACGACTAATAACAGTCATGGGGACTGCAGAACACAGCACACTTGTTAGATTGATGCAGACATTGACTTGTACCTTAAAGAGACCTCTATCTCACTCATGGCTTGTCCTCTCAAGTGGTGGAAAGACAATGCACAACGTTACCCACTGCTGTCAACCTTGGCTAAATCATATCTCTCTGTCCCAGAAACCTCAGTCCCAAATGAGAGGGGTTTTTCTGTTGCAGGGGACATGCCCAGAGATCCCAGCTTTCACCAGATTATAGTTATATGATCATTTTCCTTAAAAAACCCATCTCTATCTGAGTGAGTGAGTGATTAAATGTTGAATGTGATGAGTTTTCAACAATACTAAATTGAAACTTTATTTTTTTTTTACATGGTTTAATAGTTTTTTGTTATTAAAATTGGAAAATTAAAGTTCCTGTTTCGAAACTTACAGATAGACGGCTAATTTGTATGTCATTGATATGTTCAGTGATCAGGTAAATAAACACTTTTGGCACTTTTTTCGAGTCTTTTCATTAGTTTTGTTTTTTCTGTAAATTATTCAATAAATATTGTATCGTGCCATTCATACCGAGGTATTATCGTACCGTGAAATTCTGATACCGTTACATCCCTAATGAATAGTGTTTAACCCTGCATTTTTCACAGTGTAATTCTATTTGTTTTGACAAAAAGTGAAATAAAATTTGAAAGTGAGTTGGATGTTAAGCAAAAGTGTAGGAATGCAATTGGCTACATGTTATCTAAATCAATAAAGCTTTGAGAAATGACATTTGAAAATCACTTGTTTAATAATTGCTTGCAGTTTTCACAGCTATACAACAAATTGAATAAGTCACAGAAATTGAGGTTATGAAATCGTTGCATAAAATGTATCACGTCTAGTGATAAGTCCATGTACAGGAAGTATAAAAAAATCATATATTTATATATATTTATAGAGTAGATAACTATAATAAATTGGCAAGATGTAAACAGTTCATACATATGTGCATACATGACGCCTGCGTCAAAAATAAAAAAAATGCAA